TATATAAATGAATGAAATAAATTATTAACTAGAGGAAATTTGTGTGTATTTTTCTTTGTCATACCTTGCCGTATACTACCACATGAGATGAGGATTCCATCGTTGTGGGCGTAACTAACTACCAATATTTTATTATAGTTATTAACCAGCGACGTTTCCACATCCTCCGGACATCCACCGGCATGACACTGTGGTGCATCGAGCTTGGGTCCGGTGACAGCCTCCGAGAGTACTCGTAGATTTTCATTTAACTTCAATATTTTGTTTGTGGCACCCGCATAAAAGACGTCATGACCATAATCGAAGGTAAGGTGAGTGAAATAGTTTTTCGATTGACCACTAAAACTGCCCATATTGAAACTATTAGCAGCATTTGTGTGATTACCGAAGTTAGCCTCCGTCGATGTGGACGTGGAGCTACCAACATCGAATTGACCGCTAGCCACACCTCCACTATTAATGGGTGGCAAAACAAACTGAGCGACAATGTCCGCTGAAGAGAATGGCGTTGATGACAGCGATTCAGCATTGCTTAAATCTATATATGAATGTGTTTGCGTGTGTCCATGCTCAACTTTGATGCAATGCACAGCCCAACGCATTTTAAAGTTAATAAGGAATACATTCAACATTAATATGGCGCCCAGCAGACGAAGGATTTGCCGCAACATTCTATCAATGAGTAATCCTTTGACCAATTAGTAGTATATGGCAATTTCAAAATGGTGCTTTTTTTCATAGGGAGTCGAATGGCGAAGGAAGAGTACTGTTCTATTTGAACGATGATACAGCTTGCCGATCCAATGCTTTGTCACATTATGAATTACACTGTTTGATGCACTTAGTTCTGAATTACATTTCGGTTAAAAATCCGCACAATTTGTCAAGCAATAACAAAAACTCTCAAAAATACTCTTCCAATCGCGAACACATATGTACATATATGCATATTGTGAAAAAAGTGTATACTTTCATAATAAAGCTGTCAAGCTATCGATAACAAACATTATACGATGCGATACTTACATATTTAACACATTAGCTATCGATATAAAGAATAGGTTTAAAATACTTTATTAGCCGTAAATAATTAAAGTACGTATTTTGGTAGATAAAGCTATGTATTGTTGCAGATATTGCTAGATTTTAAGCATACAATTCCAAAATTTGAAGAATACTGACGGAAATGACAGGGGACAGGTGATTTTTATTCGATAAACTGATAAACACCGCCAACAGAAATCGAATTCAAATTAAAGTAAAATACATTTTTAGACTTGTTTAATATAAACATGTATAAGATAAAAACATATATGTATCTTTATCAATATGAACATATACAACATAAACATATATACCAAAGCTCTCAACTTAATTTGTTTTAAGCCGCTAGAATTTATGTGAAACGTACCAGACTCCGAAAATATATATGTACATACATATGAAAATATGTACATACAGTACGAGTTTATATTTTTTCGAAAACTCATTCCATTTCTTGGACCAGAGATTTGAGATTTACTGTGTACATGAACATACTTATGCTGATATATATATATGTATGTACAAATATGCAAATGCAGATTTTGGATTCGGTAAATATGTACACTGACCAGAGAACACATAGACTAGACATGTAGAACAAATTTTTCTACAGCAGAAAATGTTAAGTTGGTCGACCAYTTTACTTCGTATTTGCTCGGCTCGGTCGCTGGAGGTTCGAGCCAGTGTTGCCGAAACTTTTTCAGTAAAAGTAGCAAAACCGAGGGCTGAAAGTAGCTAGAAGTAGCCAACTTTCTTCTAAAATAGCTGAAAAAGTAG